GCAAACTGTGGAATTTGTTTTTTTCCACAATTAATACTTTATGTATGTGTCCAAACATTCGATGTGATGGGTGAAAAATTTTTATTTTGGGAACTAAACAAGGCCTAAGGCGAATTGCTACGCTCACCCAAGCTTGTGTACCTTCAGATTGTCGCTTCGTGCACATACCAAGGAAATTAATCACATGCATTGCTTTGGTTCTGTTTGGTTAAATCAAATTTGGATTCAGCTTTTGCTACGCTCACATGCCAGTTTACTAGGAGGATTTTATAAAGATCAAAATGCTTTGTTTTTACACGCAGTGTATCGTGTCTCTGCTAGGTTCATACAGGCTCATACCAATAGATTCAGGATTTATTTCCAATGATGTGTTTGAAGTATACCTCTTATTGATTAAGGGTGTTACGGTTTTATAACCCAAGTGACTATTGGACACACAATGATTTTGTCACATCATGAGTTTCTTGGAAGATTGAAGATTTTTATGCTATAAGAGCAAATTCGTCTCAAGATGGAGTTGTAACATATGTGATCCAAATTTCAGCATACAATATATTTGGGTTAGTTACCTAATAGGACTTTGTATTACATGATTAGTTTTCTAATAGGATTTCGAGTCTTTGCATATTAGGACTCATAAATTTCCACTTTATATATCTCTTGCATGCCACACAGGAAAGGTGCGACAGCCCAATGTATCCTCTACGTTTGTATCCCACTTCTCTATACTGATCATTACCGGTCGGCGCCCATTATTTTTTTCCCATAAGGATTTTCCATATAAAATTCATTTATCCATTATGTATTTATTTTCATAACAAGGAAGACTTAACTGTTTAACCGGCTATTATAAAGCATTTATTTTCATAACAAGGAAGACTTAACTGTCTAACTGACTATTATAAATGAATTCATGCGTGTAGGTTGTGCATGGATGCAAAAATCATAGCAGAGCTCCTATTTTCATCGAGCAAATAATCACCAGCTCTTTTTATCAACCTTGAGCTTCCTTTATAGAGTAGAATATCCTGCGGATGTGGACTTAAGCAATATGTAAGATTAAAATTCCCTTAACCCGTTGCAACGTACATGCATTTTCTCTAATGAGGATATATGTTGTTTATGTCATACAAATCAGTACACATGTAATTTCCGCCCTTTGATAGATCAGCAATTCGACATCACTAAACAAGTCAATATGGATCCTAATCCCAACACTTCAGTTGAAGCATTGATAACCGACGGACAACTTGTAAGCTTGGCTTCGGCCAGTAAGAAATAGAAAAATTAAAGAGCTCTAATCTAATCAATTGCTATGAACACTATAAAAGATAAAGGATCATATTTTGTCGAGCGTCTAACCCTGGCAAAGTATGCTACTACTCTCCTGTCGTACTGCTCTCTCTATTTCATGCATGCATGCATATAGCAATTTTCAAAATAATTTTTCTTCTAAACATTAGTGGAGAAACCATCTTTGGGCGGTCGGCCAAAATCCACAATAGTCCCGGTTCCACTAAAAACCGGGACTAAAAATGATCTTTAGTCCCGGTTGGTGGCTACAACGGGCATATGTGATCTTTAATCCCGGTTCTAAAGATCATACCCATGTTTACTTATCCAGTCTGCGATCCGATCATACCCATGTTGTAATTAAATCTTTACAATAAAACATCGTACATTCTAATGAAAGAAAAATATATGTTTCAATAATTAAAACTTAATGTTTCGTACAAAACAATATCATGTTTCAATGTGTGCTTTACTATGTGTCACAAAATTTATAGATATTATAATGACTAAATTATTTTTACTATATATAACTTAATGTTTCAATGTGATCAACTGAAACATTTAACTGTCCATTTCTTTAGAAAACCGGACACCCTATTTGTAGTTTTCTCCAAAGATAAATCCTATAGATATAATAAGTGAAAAAAAGTCTAAATACCCATATAAATAACTTCTCTTTCCACTCTCCTTTACAACTCGCTTTTGTGTAAAATACTATCATAAGTTCAATATCTCTTCTAATTTTTCACTTGCCACTAGTTTTGAGTGCTCTATCGCTATTCCCTCAAATTCCTGTATTGTGTAGGTGTCCAATATGCACAGATGCAGTTACGCACTTACGCCCGAGATGTCAAACCTCAATGCAAAACACAACAATCGGCCACTTGCTCGCACAGTCACACCACCGTGTCCATATCACTACGATTAATTAATTAATATCATTGTCGCCCCGTAACTCGTTGAAAAGTACGATTAATTAATATCTCTTACTTTCTGGATCTTCTCTTTTCCTTCTCTCTCTCTCTTAGTCTCTTCCTTTTGGTAATTTGGCAGGAGACATCCAGTGTTGTACATGGCATGCAGGAGTCATCCGAGCAACGAAGCACCAAAAGAACAGAACGATATATGTTAACATCAAGCTTGTAGCACAGTGTCATGCATGAAAGCTCTATGTAACAAACACCATATGTGCTTATTTATTGCCATGCGCTTTGGGCCTAACAAAAAGAGGAGGATAGTACACATGTGCAAATGCTGGGTTTTTACCGATTCATCATCTAATGATAATCTCAACCAAATGGCAAAATCTAAATCAAGAGGCCTCTCGTCTTAGTGCTAATGAGAGACCCTATCTAGATGCCTTAACTGTAATACTAGTTCCCATCAAGTAAGTAGAAAATATATTCCTATTATCTATGTTTCAAATAAAATTTTCTCTTAAACTACTCATCTGATTTATGATCCAATTACACGGTTGTGTTCGTAAGAATTAAATCTTTATAACAAGATCTCACATGATTATATTTTGATAAAAAATTACAAATTACTTTTATAGTATATCTAAATTAGTTTTAGATTTCACTAAATTACTTCTTAGACATATAAAAATAATTTCAGTAAAGCTTAAAAGTAATTTACACATATTATAGAAGTAACTTAAGACAAAAAGGAAGTAACTTTGTCATGACATTAAAAGTAGATCCGTTATGAAGGTAAAAACATGAGTCTATCTAAAAATTAAATTTAATCAACACAAATTATGGAATTGACTAAAAAGATAATAAAATAAACAACTCACAACATTATGATTGTATAATAAGTAATTTAATCAAATCAAAAAGTAATATATATATATATATATATATATATATATATATGATAAAAGTAACTTACATATATAATAAAAGTAATTTACAACATAAATATTTCTTTTATCAAAATATAGTCATGTAAGATCTTGTTGTAAAGATTTAATTGCAACGAACACAATGGTGTAATTGGATTATAAATCGGATAAATAATTTTTAAAAAAAATCTATAAGAAGAAAAAAAACATGTATCATTTGGTGTACTAGTATACAATCAAGTCTAAGAGGAGTCTCTGGTTAAGACAATATAGGGTGTGGTCTCTATGTAGTCATGTCCCAACCAAATCATTTTTTTTCTATGCGTGTGCCATTCTTTCTCCTTTCCCTTTTCCAGTACCAAACCAGCACAATCACAATCACAAACACAATCACAAGTATGCAATTGTCTGAGAAATCTCTCAAACAAAATTTCTCCCAGTATATATAAGGCAGTTAATTTACAAATATAAATATAATTCGATTTTTTTAGCAACTCTTACATAGTGGGGAAGTCTGGGTTATATGGTGTCTTAGGCAAGTGTGTATACTAATAAGCATCGAGGCGTGGTTAGATCTTTGTAGCTATCTTGAAATCAAGCAAACAACACGACCACTTTTGGGTATCGGCTCTATATAGAAGACAATGAGTCAAATATAAATCATTACTTATTATCCTATATATGTTAGCTGGTGTTAAACTGATTAGGACCTTCGTTAATTAGTAGATTAGCTTGTATTGAGTTTTAAGCTAAATCAGTTTACCCAAAAGATACGTTTGATAACATTGGATAATGAAAATTTATGAGTTTAGAAGAGAGGGTTGATAGGGATTGGTCACATCAGTTTTCTTTTTATTCTTGTCAATATAAGAATCACGTTAGCGAAGTGAGTGTAGTTCAATCGATTAGATTTCTTGTGGTGGAACCAACCCACCTGGGTTCAAATCTTTAGAAATTGGATTTGTGTATTTTTCATTTCTATTCCTTTGGCTATTTTTCTTATGAATATTTTTTTAGATTTATCTCAAAATTAAGCACCTCCATGTGGCCCAATAAGATGGCTCGAGACAAGCCAGCTTTAGAAAGATAGATGAGCTTAGGGGATGATTAATGGTTTGCGAGTGTAGACATGAACATCGATAAATAAGATGGCTCGAGACAAGCCAGCTTTAGAAAGATAGATGAGCTTAGGAGATGATTAATGGTTTGCGAGTGTAGACATGAACATCGATAACTAACCAATTAAGTGTGATGAGAAATAGGGATATTATATCCGAGTGGAATTTAACAAATGATGTTATAATTTAGATTTTATTATACGTGCTCCATTGTTCCCTACTTCCCTTCAATTTTCTTTTTTTTTTTGCTGGAATGGACGTAGAAAAATGGCCATCCATCCAAATGTATCCCAAAATTATTCATTCTGACTGTTCACTTTCTCATTCCTTCAGTCTTGGAAATTTTTCATCTAGCAACGTTACGAGAGTCGTGCCTTCTATTAGGCACGGTTGGCTTTTGGCATTAACTTGCCATCTTGATATTGCATTATTTCTTGATACTACTACAGGACTTGATCATCTTAGTGATGGCACCATATGTAGATCATCTTGCTTTCGTAGTAAAATCTCTTCATTCCAAAAACTTTAGTTTAGCCTCTTCACCAAGGCATGACTTCAATGCCGATCATCAGGAAAGTTTGCAAACTGGGGGTGAAAGGGGCAGGTGTGATATGTTCCTGTGAGCTGTCCCTCATCTAATTACCCTTGTAAAATCTTGGCTACTGAAGCTTCTGACAATGACATTGCTTTCTCATTTACCTATATAAATCCTGACATGATTTCAGTCGAAGAATCAAATAGATGTGTGCCTACATCTCTTAGATCATGGTGGGCTTGTATTGTCCTGCAGTCCTGCTTGTTTTACTATCTTATGTATTACGTTTATGTGTGCTCTTTTTCAATCTCAAAAAAGGGTATTAATATTACGGAGAAGAATGATGGGAACAAAATACCGTTCAGTACTTCAGTTTTTTAGGGATCATTTTAATTGTTGTATTCCTATTTCTTTTTATTCCTCCAGGACATAATGGGAGATGGTTCATCAACTGGATGGACAGACGAAAAGCACATGCTGTATATTAACTCATTGGAGGAATCATTTGTTACTCAACTAAATGATGGTAAAGTCAGCTCAAAAGGGGGCCACGATATTTGTGAAGGAAATCGTACAGATACAATAGTTGCTCAGGTATGGGCAATGCTGAGCTTTACTCTATAGCAATATCTGCAATGTGTGAAATTTTCTCTTGTTCCAAACTGGCACATCGATCAGGGATACTTGGGGATGGATGAGGTTGGTGGAGCTGCATCCAGAGCATCACAAGCTGAGTTCTGTATTGGATCAGCTTCATGTTATCGGCATCAGGAAGATAGCAAATCCTATTTTATGGGTGGTGATGCATCAACTACTGAGCCAAGACAAGAAAGAATCAGTTACCATGCAAAACAAAAGAGCCATGGAGCCTCTTCTGCCTCCAGTTTCCACTGGCACGGGCAATCTCCTTCTTGGACAACAGGTAGGTTACCACCTCCAGGATGTTTCTGCAAAAAATGGTTTTAATTGTTTTCAGTAAAAGAAAAAAAAATAAAAAAAAGATACGAGGTGGCCCGGTCGCTCCGCCCCAGGGGCGACGTGGGCGGCGAAACCTCACCGTCGCCCCCTCCCTTCCCCTCCTCTCCCACGCCTCGCCGCCGCCCGAGCAGCTGCAAAGACGGCGGCGGCGGGGCTCCCCTTTCCCCTCACTCCTGGTCAAGTGGTTGGGGGCGCCGATGAGACCGGAGCACGAGGGGCGCAACTCGGCGAGGACAGCCAGATCCGGCGCCGTTGAGTTCGGATCCGGCCCTCCCTTGGCTGGATCTAGGCTAGACGCGCGGGTCGGCGGCGAAGGTGGCGGCCGCGGCGCGAGGGCCGCGCGGAGGAGGCGGCTGCGGTGGCGGCGACCGAGGCGCGAGGGCCACGCGGAGGAGGCGATAGCGGCGGCGACCGCGGTGCGAGGGGCGCACGGAGGAGGAGGCGGTGGCGGCCGCGGCGCGAGGGCCGCGCGGCGGCGACCGCGGCGCGAGGACCTCGCGGTGACGGTGGCTGCGGCTCGCGGACGTGCGTCAACTGCTGCTTCTCTGGCCTGTGTGCACGGGGAAGCGGTTGGCGGCGGCGACGTCTCTTCTCCCAGCCGGCTTAAAAAGCCCATCTCGTGGAGCTCCTCCCCTCCTATGGCCAGATCCTATCCTGGCCGTGGGGAGCTTCGGGAGAGGGTGGACGCGGCGGCTTGTGCAGAGGACGACGGTGCCATGGCGACGTGCGGGAGCAGGCCGCGAGCCTACCTAAGCCGTGGAGTGGTGAACTGGGCTAACTGGTGGCTGATGAGATGATGTGGTGGTTCCGCGACGGTTGTTGTGTGGTTCGGTGGTGGCGCTGGACGAAAATCATTGGCAAAAGCCTTGCTTAGCCTTTGGCTAGCACGACAACGGCGGCGCCTTTGGCGTCGTTCCCTTCTTGGAGGCGTCGTTATAGCATTTTCTCCACGCTACCAGTCTTTAGGTGAAAACTGTGATCCGGTTTCCGGACGGGCGATGGTGGCGTTTCACGTCGTATCCTCCTTGGGGGCATCGTCTTGGAGAACCTTACCCATGCACCATTTGCCGCTTGTGGACTCCTGTGTCAGCTTGATGCGCTAGATGCCTAGGTGCTTGGTGAGGCCTTGTCCTTCTTGGTTCCTTTCTTGTATTGGTGGCATCCAGCTTCTTCATCTGTCTCTGTCGGGTGGAGTCGGAGCTGCTACGTCGTTGGGGTACGACGAAGCTTGGCAACGATAACATTTGCAGTTTCTCTCTAGGGATGTGGGTGTTGCTAGTACAGGCTTTGGCGCTTCAGGGGCTTGGCTGATGTCCAAAGTGTGAGCTTGGTGTTGCTTTGCTCGGTTTAGCGGTGCCTACAATGATGCCATAATCGCCATGGAGTCGGAGCTGCTGGGTCGCTGGGCGGCTAGCTCGGCAACGATGACACGTGCCTTGTGATGTCAACGCGGTGTGCCGCCTCTTCAGCATCTCGACATCGATGTTCGTCGTTGGATTCCGCCATCGTTTCGTTGATAGTTTGGCTAGAGTGGTGTGGAGCTCCGTGTGCTGTGTGGTTGTACCGGCCACGGTGGAAAGGCTTGGCGAGTCTCTACTCGCCGAGAGGTTGTTTTTTCTTTTTCTGTAACCCGTCTGGGTTTTTACTCCTGCTTAATGAAATATAATTGGCAGTTCTCCTGCCGGTTTAGTTTAAAAAAAAAGTAAAAGAAAAAAAAAAGAAAGAGTATTTTCATATGAAGAACTGCCATGGTAGTGTTTTTTTTTTCAGAAGTCTCATCGGTGGGTTGTCTTAGATAGCCACCACCATTAGATTCATGGTAGTGTTGTAACACCATTGCTGGCTCAGTTTCGATAAATAATATCGTTGTATGTTGAACAGTAGTAATACCTGTATGAGCCATCCCAACACACGATTTCACTCTCTCATTTGATATTTCTCACCAGCAGCTTACCAGAGATGTGTGCCCTTGTCTTTCTTCAGAGTTACCAGAGCAAAACTTGGATACAGAAGTTCGAAGGGAACAAAGCGTAGCATGTGGCAACAAGCGACTGAAACATGCTGCTACTACAAACAGTGGCCTGGTAATTTGAACATCTGTATCCAAGTATTTTTCTTCCTGTTGCTGCCCTCAAGTGTACAAGTGCTAACCTGTCAAGATATATGGTGTGATTAGGTTGTATCACCTGGAAACGCAAATTTGGAAGGATATTACAGTGGCAGCTCATCAGATTGCGACATTGGATTACTGAAGGCAGATACTGCTTCACCCTCGTGGAAAGCCCAGGCACTGAGAACTTGGTCCGTGTGAGGTTTAGGATTGAGTAGATAGCTGCACAAATTTGTAGAAAAAAAATAGCAGCTTGCTTCAGGGTAAATGCAGTAGAGTCTTTTGTGTAGAAATTAAAAATTACTCCCTCCGTTTCAGGTTATAAGACGTTTTGACTTCGGTCAAAAATTTGACTAAATTTATAGAAAAAATTAAAAACATTTTCAACTCAAGACAAATTTATTATAAAAATATATTCAATTTTGATTTGATGAAACTATTTAGTATTATAAATATTACTATATTTGTCTATAAACTTAGTCAAACTTAAAATAATTATTTGACTTTGACTAAAATCAAAATGTCTTATAACCTAAAACTTATAATCTGAAACGGAGAGAGTATGTAACTTGTTCGACAGTCGACACAACTTGGTAAGCTCTGGTGAAAGGCAACGCATTGATTTGCTATATCCAACAAAACAAAAAACTAAATCGTCATATCTAACAAAATATAGACCGTCGTATCCCATCCAGACCGTGAACCAAACAAATCCTTACACATCGCTTCCAACAAGCACAACCAGGATTACAACACATCGATTCCAGATTTTTCACTGACTACACTAAAGCAGCAGCTGGGGCCCTGGACTCGTCAATGTTGTTGTATATATACTTGTATCCTGTGCCGTAAAAGAAATTGCTTCAGGATGTTAATTTTACCTCATAACCTGTGCTGTGAAAGAACCTGTTTCGTAAAGTTAACTATCATCATGGAGAATGGATTAACCGAACAACAGCAAGCAAAAATGACATCTGAAGGAAGATTTAACATCTCTCATCCCAGTGTGGTTAAAATAGGCTAGTACCATGTAAGTGCATGATTAAAATATAAAAAAGCATCGAATGGAATATGGACACATTCACAAGGGGCATGTTTTCATCCCTATTATAGCAATCTCCGAGGCTGTTTAAACCTCCAGAGTCCGGAAAAATAATAATGATAATGATAATAGTATTAACAATTCAGACGGCACACCATCGACTTACACAACAGCATATTTTGAAGGTTGCAAATTTTATCCAGGCATGTCACGATATCACTATAAAGTTTTGACACTGCAACCACACTACCTTTTTCTTTTCTCTATGCAAGACAATGAACCAAAAATAGATAAATGATCAGCACAGGCTATAATCGCCAAAGAAAACAAAAAGGATAGACAGACATGGAGTGACAACACATTTCGCATGTGTCTGGTGCAAATATGCTCGAGTCGAGCTGTTGCGGCCTCCTGATTGACGCAGGCTTTGCAAAAGAGCATTTGTGCTTCTAACCAGATGGGGCATGGCCACTTGCTGATGATGATTTTGCAACATAGATCTGCTTCATCCTACCAGTGCCCAAGTTCTTGTCAGAACCGGAATTTTGATTCCTTCCCTGGTATCCTGAACGGCGTTGCCATTCATTGACAGCTCCAGTCTTTTGGGTCACCCGAGACCGACGATCTTGATTATTAACTTGATGTTGGTACTGTTGACCCGATGATGATGAAGATTGGTGGGGCTTGGAAGGCATGCTGGCAACCTGACTTCCATTTGAGTTGCTGACCCCTGTAGCAATCCCAGGGTTAACATTTGGTGTGTTCGACGACCTACCCATAACTTTGGCACTGTTTGGGACTTCATTGCTGATCATGCCTACCCGGGCAAACGAAGGCTGAACAGTTTGAGCATTTGAACTTGTGGAGGCTGGCTGTTCAACAAGGCCTAAATCATCTGTAAACTGAGTAGCAGATGCATTTGGAATGTTCTTGCTGTTATCTGCTGGAACAACAGAAGCAGAGGGCTCCTGGAACCGGTTATTCGAACTCGCTTTGTTGTCCACTTGGATGTTATGAACAAACTGCGCTGCAGCTGTGCCGTCCATTGGATGCTGCTGTAGTGGCACTGATAATGGGACGGTGTGTAGTGGTGCTACAGGCATATGTGGCCAACAAGGCTGCATCTGTATATCTGTAGATGACTGGAATGGCAATGTGTTGAGGTTAGTTCAAAATGCAAATGGAAAAAGCATGCTGTCACATTATCTTATCTCTACTATCATAAAAATTGAAGATGTTTTTGCCGTTACTTTAGAACGTCATTCGTGTATGAGTTGGTTTTTAATTTCGTTTGCTTTTGGAAATACATATCCGTATTTAAGTCGGTTTTTAAGTTCGTTTGTTTTTGGAAATACAGAAAGGACACCTAATTGCAGCTCATGATTTTCTACATATATATATATATATATATATATATATATATATATATATCCAATCGAATTCTTACAGTGAATTTCATATTAATAAACCATATAACAATAATAAGATTAAAATAACCTTCATCCGTTGCAACGCACGGGCATTTTTTCTAGTATATATATAAAGAAAGAATCGTGAATTTGACCATCTGTACCTATATACAAACTCAAGTAGGATAGCAATTTCCATTTTTCAAATTTATTGATAATGACTATGTGAATTGTTTAACCATCAAACTGATAGATATAAAACTTCAATTTTCTTGCCATAAAGAAAAGCAGAGAGAGAGAGAGAGAGGGAGGAGGAAAATTAAAATAGAAGGGTGACAATAAATATTCAACTCTCAATAATGTAGCACACTTTCAGATCTCAGTAATGTATCTTTTACTTATGCGTAAATAACAATGTAACGTACAAGCATAAAGCATGAATCAACTCAGCTCTATATGCATGGCACGATGTGGGACCATTATGTCATACCTGGAATGGAGCAATATCAAACATGGTCAGTGGAGATGGAATTGGCATGATGGAGGTTGGGCGTAGATGCTGTACTGGAGTAGGAACACTGGGCGAGCTTACTTGACCAGGTACCATATTTTGGTTGTTTGGATCACTCTGGCTAACACCAACAACCGGAGGTCCTTGGTTTTGCTTCCAGTCAGGCTGCTTGTCACCAGAAATATAAGTGGTTCCCATGAAACCAAGTCCCATTTGACTAAACTGCCCTACAGGAGCAAAGTGATTGTAGACCACCATATGTGGAGGACCTTGTACGCCTGGTATCCCTCCAGGGCTAATGAAAGGACCAGCAAACCCAGTGGGAGGACGATAAAATGACTCAACCCCAGAGTGGCATTGTGGCCAAGCTCCCAATGGTGCTGAAGGTAAAGCATTGCTTCTTTGAGGCTGCTGAACCTGAGAACCAGCACATTCATCACTTGGTCCAAATGCAAAAATCTGCCCTCCTAACATTGTGTTCATCTCAAAGCAGGAAAAGTGGGATGGCTGTGCACCAGGAAATTGAGAAAGCATCGGTCCTGATGCCTGTGGACTTGGCAGAGGGTGCCACAGGGACATTGGTGGAGTATCAACTGACAAGTCTGCTGGAAGAGCGACGCTGAGTGGTTCATCTGTGGATGATTGACCTGCAATTGCTTCAGTGTTATCAAATACATCTGCATGCACAGAGGCTAAATTTTCAATTCAAATAACTAAAGCCGAAAGATCATACCTCCTGATGCTAATCCAGCAAGATTCTTATTGCCGAAACTTTTGTTGTCTGAAGCAGAAGCTGCCGTTGCATCAGCTCCAGATCCAACTATCTCATCACTACTAATAGCTGCAACAGCTACAGCAGAGGCAGCTGCTTCAGCCTCAGCTTCAGCTTCAACATCATCGGAGTTTGGTGATGGTTCCTTTGTTGTAGACGTCTCCTTATCAAACAAAATGGCAGTACTATTGCTATCACCAGGCAAGTTGCGATGAATCTTCATATCAGGCCTAGATGAACCTGGAGGACCAAGCCCACTTGTAATAGTTCGGCTGACTGGAGGCAGTACAGTTGGTGAGGTAACTGCTCCTGAATATTGTTTTTAATTTCATTATCATCAGTCAAGCAACAGGAAACATTCTACAAGCTAATACAAAGTGCTTACCAAACTGAATCTTCTCCCCGGCAAGAAGGGAATTAATAGGGCTAGCAGATGAAGGGAATGTTTTTTCAGAACCTAGTGTGGGAGACAGAGCATTGTTGGGCTCCAAAGAAAAGCCAGAACCAGCTTGTTCAAACTTCCCTGGTTTCATAGCTTCTTCAAGTTGAGTTTGAGTTAATGGCATAACCTAGAATACACAAGTGGCCAAAAAATCATATTGCATACAATATAATTATAAAATATCCACATTTTAGTAAGAACAGATAATGCAAGTATGCAAAAGACAAACAAATTTTTTTTCCAAAGTTTCTTTTACCATCACTTCTCTAGTGCAGTTTTCTTTTTTGCTAGTTCCACTGAATCCCATTGAGCTCATGCACATTTACCAGATTTAAGATGTAGTTTTTTTTTGAAAGGCAACTATATCCCCAGTTTGCTGTGGCATCACCACTCTGATTCTCTACATGTTTCCATCATCATCATCTGTTCATATGTGTAATGCCTTTTCTTGGTGCAAGGTGTCATAGTTCAGCTCTGGCCATCCTCAATCAAGACGGAAAGCTTCATTTGCCTCCTCTCCACATCCATGGAGAACAAGAAAAGAAACAAAACCAATAGCAAGGCCAATAGGTCATGTGGGAGTTTTAAGGGATACGTCAGCATGAGGCATCATTGAGGAAAGAAGTGGGGCAGGAGGGCAGACAGTATTCTGGTACTGACACTGTCATCACAGAGCACGCTAACTGAGATCCCAGGGATCAGTCAAACTGGCAAAAATAATAATCTCTCTACAGATGGATGGACAAAGGATGATAATGCTATCTCTTAGAGACGAAAACAATTTTCACAAACCAAGATGCAGAGTGTCTGTATTTATAGATAAATCAATATTTGTTAGAAAACTTTGCACCTCCATGTCTTCAACACATGGCAGAAGGCAAAATAATTTTGATGGTAGAGACCAAAGCTGGTGCATTTTATTTTACAACTAGAAGTAAGAGTAGTACAACTATCATGGCTATAAATCGAACACTGAGACTGAAAAAATGATAAAGCTATTCAATTAAGCTTTCACTTTTCAGAGAGTATTTTTCCTCTAGCTCTACTGCTGTAAGCAAAGTAGTTAAGTTGCCATCATTTGTACAGAAAATACGAAGATGGTCTAGCTTGCATCCATGTACACAAATTTAAGCATCAGGAGGTTTTAGAAGGGAATAAAATGTATTGGTCTCACATAACATACAGATAGCGTAGTGTTGTCTGAACATTATTTTGCGTATGAAAATTGAAGCCAGTGCAAACAACAAAATATAGGTTCCTAAAGGCAATCTATACACTATGTAGAACTATTTGTTTGCATAAAAGTACTGTTATCATTTCAACTCTCAAAAGAGATTAATGGGAACAAATGAAGTGATGATCAACAACTGGAAGCAATGTTTGTCCCAATAAAAGAATAACGGCATGCACCATATGAACATGAATACGATTGTAAAAAAAATACCTGCTGGTTTAATTGTGAATTATCCCAGGTGCCTATGTTAAATGGAGTGCTAATGGGCATCGTTTTATTGTTTTCTTCAGATAGGCTTGTCACGAGCTTTCCTGAATTGACCGCATCTGAGGATGGCTGGCTATTGATAGGCCTGTATAGGTTTTGTGAATAAAAACCTCAAGAATCCTGACAAATAAATAGCATAGACATGATTAAGAGACATACTTCTTTGCGTAGTAGTTTGTATGAGATTCTGCGTTGACCAAAGGTTGCCCTATGGGTGTCATGGAAGCTTTATCACCCTTTAGTGCAACAGATGATTCAGCAGGGTCAATGATTCTGCTTTCAACAGCCATGACAGAATCCAAAGAAGCTTTCTTTGCAGGTTCTGCCAAAGAAACAGTTCCCTTGTTCAAATTTGGACTACTAGAACTGTGCAGAGAAACTTGATGCTGTTTGCGGGGAGCCTGGTTCAGCCAATACCAAAGCATTAGTTTAAGGAAGACAAGAATATTATAAGGTTTCAAGTATGTAAAACATAAAAATTGGGCACCTTTGCTATCCTCATCTTGGATCTATTTTCTTTCTCCCTCAGTTCTCTCCTGACACTCATGATCTGCCTCTTAGACCTTACTTCAATAAAACCATCTGCATCAACAGGGATTTCGATGCCCTGCTGCCTAACAACACGTGCAACTGCAGCCTGTGATGAAGCATTAACATCTCCTTCAGGGATAGCACCACCTGCTCTCGATTTCTTGTTCCCACTATGAGATCTCTCGTAAGATGGAGCCTTGTGTGTACTTCTCTCTGTCTTGCTGTAATAATTAGCACATGTAGATGGACCTGCACTAAGATCGATTGCTTCATTAGCCCTAAATGACTTATCACCTTCCCTTCTGTTTGGATTTTTCAAAGGAATTTCTCTTGCTGTTCCATTGGAATATGGCTTCTCGTTCTGCTCACTGTGACTAAATGACTCATCTTGAATGTGGTTCTTTTCGACATTTTCCCGAACTCTAAATTCAGTTCTTCTTATGTTCCTACGAGACCTCCTCTGTAATCCTCTTGAATCTTTATTAGAATGGTCAACTGAACTTGTTGACCTTATATTAGATTCCTTGACAGCATAACCGTATTTTCTCCCTCTTCCACCAGGTACAGCACCTGGAGCCTTTGGACCACTCACAATTTTTGCATCTGAATTAACTTGAGAAGATTCTCTGTTGTTAGAAGTAGGTCTGTAATTCCTCTTCAGAGAGATATCATGATTCCTGTGACTTTCAGGTTTTGAAACTCTGCACATGTTTTCCCCCAGGGAAGATCTATCCAGCAGGTTGTGAAATCCCTCTGCATCAACCATCTGGTTGATTGCAGGTGCACCAAGCTTCTGAGAATCTGAATGCTGCAACATAAAGGAAAGATTGGCTGCAGACACCACAGATTTCTCAATAGAGCTGGACTGAGCTGCCTCTCTTGGGATATTCTGGTGAGTGTGTTGATTAATTTCATTTGGGAGACCACTTGAACCATACTGGTTCAATATATAAGGAGCTGGTGCAGATGAATGAATTGAAGGCATCGCCTGAGAAACCGACTGAACATTCTGGGCAATAGGGCGCACATACCTCAACTGGCCAAACTGGAACAATGGAGCTGGTGAAGGGTGTACTTGAGATAGGGATGGATTAATCTGGTTGTGGAGATTTATAGGCATTTGAATGGAACCAATCTGAATGGCTGGAACAGGAGTTGGTATCAAAGAAGGCCCAGAAAATAAACCAAACTGGAGATTGACAGGGACTTCACTCCGGCCACTAACTGCTGAAGCTGGTGGCATAATAGGATCAGTGGAAGGTGCTTGATGTAACTTGGAGCCTGGCGCAGATGCTACTAAGCTATTGGATGGCTCATTGTTAGTTTCATCTGTCAAAGCATTTATTTGATCAAGAGCCAAATTCCGCAGTGCCTTCTCTGCTTCAGTAACCAAGTCAGAAGGACAAACTGAACTACTGCCCACCTGCTGCTCCATGACACCTGAGTGTGTGTTCTTCATGGATACTAACTCAACCTCAGGATTTGGGGGGATTTCAACCTGTACACCCTCATCAAATCCAAGTATAACCGGTTCCATTTCTATATGTGTACTATGCCCCTCTGCAAACTCATCATCCAAGTCAAGATTTTCATCGTCACCTTCATTGATTTCATCTTCCTGGTAGCTATTGCTTTCTTCGTCATACTCATCTTGCTTTTGACGATTTTCATTATTTTCACTTGGCCATTCATCATCCTCCAAGTGAGAAACTGTGCTTGAGGTATTGATTCTGCTTGTGTTGGCTGCATCTAAGGTTGAAGCCGCATGGTCAATGTCAGACATCACAGTTCGATCACCATCAGCAGAAGTTGGCAACGCAGGTGAATCACCAGAAACATCCATCTCATCATGTGAAACATGTGGAGGTGAACTAGGAGGGCTCGAAACAGACAGAGAAGATTGTGAGCCCAATATAGGGTTTTCCCTATCCCCATTTTGCTGTTCATCTAGAACAATGCCTTCAGCTGATGTCCCATGCTGGTGAGATGCCTCTTGGTATACACGTCCATATTCGGTCTGCATAGTATGCTCTTCCCTACTAGAACTCTCTCTCAACCCACTTTCCACAAAAGAAGAATTCGCATGTTGAGTGGAAGGACCAACCGTACTTCTGGCCACAGCTGGGGGTGGGGGTACACGTGGTTGCCGCATCGAGTAACGGGGCCTTGTAAAAGGGAACTCATTATCCTCAGAGCTATGAAACATCTTCTCTCCTTGGTGACGATTGGGGCCCTCATGTGAACTACTGGGCAGCCAAGCTGGATCTCCAAATCTGTCGCTACTAAAAAACTCAGTGTCAAAGTCAGATTGCTTGTCAAACCTATCGTTCTCCCTTGGTGCATCCCACCTTGGAGCCCTTCCATGATGGTACTCTTCTGATGCCCAAGGTGAATCGTTAGTCCGGCCTCTCGAAGATGGCCTGACTGTCACAGTCACAAAACCATCATAAGAATCTTTCTTAGGGTAATTTCCCCTCCTTGCAGTGAAAGTTTCACGCCGTGGACTGTAGTGAGCACTTTCCTGGTCTTGAAATGATGTCCTTCCACTAAAATGTGCATGTTCTCTATCAACAAGCGATGAGTGTCCATCTCTCAAAGTGTGCACTCTTGGAACTATATCATTGTACCTGTTGTTACTAGAGGACTCCGACGATGCAGAGGTATTGACGCGCTCACCCATTCTATCAAAATCATGTCTGTCGTCAGTATTAGCAGATTGTGGCACATCTTTATCCTTCACGGCTCCAGGCAAAAGTTCATCATTGATACATGAAGCAAGATCCCCATCCCTAATGTTCGATTCTGCTTGTCGTCTAGCAATCCTTGCCTCCAACTCTTGGAGTTTTTTGCGTGCACCTTCTTTACGCCGCTCCTCCTCAATAGCGGCCTTCCTTTTCTCCTCCTCCCTAGCAATTCTCTGCTCCTCAGCTCTTTTAGCAGCTTCCAATCTTTCTTGCTCCGCAAGCCACGCAGCATGTCTTGCCTCTTCTTCCACCAACCGTTGCCTCTCTTCCTCCTCTCTTATTAGTCTCTCCCTCTCCTCCTCTTGTTTCCGAACAATTTCTCTGGCCCTTGCCTGTTCTTCCAGTACACGTTGCCTTTCTTGCTCCTGTAACCTCAAGATTCTATCAAGCTCTGCCTCAAACGATTCCCTTACTGGGTCGTGGAAATCAGCTGGTTTGGCCGCCTCCTTTTTCTTCTTTATTGCACTTAAATTAACAGCTGTAATACTATCGAAACCTCCATCCTCAATTAAAGGCTTCGCAGGGGTTCCAGTGAGACGCTTCTCCCTGCCAAAATTTGCAGGTGGCTCATTATTTAAAGGCCCTTTATTACCAGGGAATGGTTGCACCTTGGAAACAAAACTATTCTGGAAAGGATTCCCTCTGTACCAGTTATTTGAAATGTTGCCATAACGTTCACCAGGAGTCTCCCCCACACGTGCATTCCTATACGGTTCTGCCCCATTCTGTCCATATACACGCACACCTGGCTCCCTACTTGTATTCCAGGAATCCTTGGAAGCATCACCATTCATGCTTTCACGATAAGATGATTGCGCACTGCTTCCTCTCCCTGCGCTGTATGGCCGTCCGTCTGTCCGTTCTCTATCTTGTTGGCTCGACATAGGAGATCGCCACGCCGCATCCTGGCCACCCTCTTTGCTGCTAGCAATCAAATCTTTTACAAAGGGCTCTTTTTTGAAGGGATCCCTCATGCCCCCATAAATGTCACGGCCTGCAACCGCAGGCTCGCTCCTACCGAATCCCCTCTCCCTACTGTCACGCTCTGGGAGGGTCAACCCCGTATCACGCTCATCATCAGCCCAGTCGGAATCGTACCTAAGCCGGACAAGTGGAAGTGGCCCCAAATCATTCCTTTGCGCCTTCTCCGCAGATACATGATCACCAGTGCCGGTGCCACCAGTAGAGGACAAGGGCTCAGCGGCACGAGACGGCGTCACCTGCGGTCGCATGCCCAGCGGCGGCCGTGTCTCCGGAGTGGCGACCCGCACCCCATCAGCGTCCTTGTGACGTTGCGCGGGCGGTGGAGGCGGCGGCGCGACGGACGCTTTCAGGGAAGGGAAGTCCTCCCCACGCAAGACAACGGCGGCGGCGGCGGCCTTCTCCGGGAATCCATAGGGCGGGGGCCTGGGGCCGCCGCCAGGGAGCAGCACGGAAGCGGGAGGCAGCGGCTTCTCGACGGCCGGGGCGGGCTTGGTCCAGCCGGCCGTGGGCGCCCCGGATCGGACGGGCGCGGAGGCGGCCCCGCCGCCCGCGGCCGCGGCGGCGCCATCGAACCGCTCGTGCTCCTTGCGGAGCGAGGGGAGGTTCAGCGGCGGCGGGACGGAGAGCTTGGGCGGCTGGGGCTTGGACACGGAGGAGCCACGGGAGCGGGAGAGCACGACCATGCCGCCACCCCCACCCCCGCCGCCGCCGCCACCGGATGAGGCGGAGGGGCGCGAGGGGCGGGCTCCATGGTGCGAGGGCGCGGGCTGGCCGTAGGATCGGTTGAGGTTAACGGAGACGAACTTGCCGGGGTGCGACATCGGAGGCGGGGGCGCGCCCGCATGAAACCCTAGCCAGCCGCAGCCAAGGTCCGGCGCGCGCCCGCGTGGGCCCCCTGGGAGTGGGGGTGGTATTATTACTACCCACGCGGCCGCGAGGTGCGGGAGGTGGCGGCGGCGGCGGAGGTGGGGGGGGACGCGCCGCCGACGAGGAGGCGGCGACGGCGCGGCGGTGGCGTGGGGGATTTGGGGGGGAGGAGTTTGGTGTCGGGCCGGAGGAGGAAAGGGAGGGGAAGGGAGCCCTAGAGAGAGTAGAGAGAGAGAGGAGGAGCACGGTGGCACGAATCTCAAAGTCGCTGGTTCGGTTCGGTTCGGTTCGGTGCGCGCTGTGCTGTTGGATGCCGGACGAGGCCAGGTCGGCAAGGAGGAGTGGTGGCCTACAACTGAATCAGGAAAGAGAGAAGAAACCTCAACCCACTACCAAAGAGGTAAAATTAGATTTACGACCCTGGCTGCGCCCACTATCAATCTTCATGGAACATGAACAATACTATATAGTGAGCCCAAGCAATCCAAATAGATATACTCTCTCCTTCCCTAAATGTTTGACGCCGTTAATTTTTTTAAACATGTTTAACCATTCGTCTTATTCAAAAACTTTTGTGAAATGTGTAAAACTATATGTATACATAAAAGTATATTTAACAATAAATCAAATGATAGGAAAAGAATTAATAATTACTTAAATTTTTTGAATAAGACAAACAGTAAAACATTTTTAAAAAAGTCAACGGCGGCAAACATTTTGGGATGAAGGGAGTATTATATAGTAGATGGTATTAGTTGTGGCAAACACTAAGGTGTAGGGCAAACGCCCAGCCGATCGGCCATTAGAGCGGCGAGCGCGCAGCAATATATGGCTAGCTAGGGAATAGCAACGTAAACATGTTTTAAGATAGTGTTGATGTAAAAAACATGAGGCCTGGGAGATCTACTTAACTCTAATGCATGTCCAAAAATGTTGCCTTTTAGATTCATGAGCATGCCAGTTGATTTGATCCTGCAATCAACAAGAAATAAAGACAAAGAAACCTTGGTTAAATCCATAAATGATAGTCGATCGGCTAGGTGCCGATGACATATCATTTATCTCTGAGCCGATGTCATATGTGAATCGATCGGCAGAAATAAATAAATAAGAAAGGACTAAACCTACTCGATCAGCTGTAGATATTAACAATATATAATCCTTATGTCAATATATACTTAAATCAAGTAATTGGGATAGATCGGTCACCATGCCGAGACAATATAAATCACTTAGATCGAAGTATATATTAATAGTGAGATTATAGATGTTCATAGCATAGCCGATTAGGTAGATCTAGCATGTATAGGCTAATACTCCGATACCACTCCATATTAAGATATTAAGGCAAGTAAAATATATCAAACAAAAGCCTAATATACCTAAATGCAACAAGATCTTAACATAGAGGGCAGATCTAGCATGTCAATTAAGCATATACGATATAAAACTAAATCAGGTAAGATCGGCTGAAATCCCAATACTATTCTAATCAACAACCAAAAGCAGGCTAGGGATTGAGATTCTAATCACGACTTATAAGGTCAAACTCAACTGATGCAGTTATAAGTATGAAAAGAAGAATAATATCGAGACAATCAAGCCGTTGGATGTTTCATAGAGTAGTGGATATCCTGTATAATCTAAGCCAACATAGATATTTAACCTAATCGGCTGCCTTCCAATAATAGATGTTAGCTGGTTGGAGGTTAGATAACGATATTGTCGAAGATTATACATAATATATGATAACTCGACGAATTACATAAACAAGATTAGAGTATCATGAAGATGGAAGCACTAATCCCGAGAATACAAGCCACCATAACAAGTTTTACCTCTAGTTGAAGATCGAAACCGATGCAGCTCAACCCGAAAGCAAGAACTTGTCGAAACAAAACGAAAGTAAAAGGGTGGCGATGGGCCGAGATTGTATTGAACGTGTGTTGTTGTATTACATGGGGCTCGGGGTCTATTTATACTCGAAAATATGTCCGTGTCGGACACGACTCTTATCTCTAACAAACTCTAAGATATCATAAGTCTTTACGGCAGACTTTTGCCCAAACATATCTCTAAGGAAATTACATGAAATATCCTAATTAATAGATACAATTGCCTTTTGAGGACTCAATCCGTGCATGGCAATCCTCATGAAGCACATTAACTCAACCCGACAACGTGTAACGAGTCACTTTGTCGGAATCGGCTTAATCGACCGACCTTGTCCGACTCGAACTCTGTCGATCTTGATCGTAGCCGATTCGGACTTTTAGCCTATTCTTGCTCTGTTTCCGGAACGATCTCTATCTTGGATTCCGCCTCGATTTAACTCCATCTCCGATACTTGAATTACCAAATTTGGTTGTTAACAGATAGATGGTTACTTTCTTCTTTGTGAAGAATCCTAGTACTAAAGCACTCAATAATAATACTAAGCGACGAACCCGCAACGATGGGAATGTATCTCACTTAAGCAAGTAAATTAAATACCAAAAGAGAAATCACGAATACTTAGGGTGTGTTTGAGGAGATTGGGGAGATACGCAAAACGAGGTGAGCCATTAGCTCATGATTAATTGAGTATTAACTATTTTAAATTTCAAAAATAGATTAATATGATTTTTAAAGCAACTTTCCTATAGAATTTTTTTTGCAAAAAATGCACCGTTTAGTAGTTTGAAAAGCGTGCACGCGGAAAACAAGAATCAATCTCCCCTATCTCCCCAGAACGAACAGAGCCTTACTTTATTAAAGAAGCATCCGTTGAGGTAAAAGAGAGAAGAGAGTGACGATAGCTCTGGCACTCCTCTAGACCTTCTCCTCACTCTTTACCTATTTCCTCCACACTACTAAAGTGATGTCTAAGATATGAACTTAAGTTGTACTCCATTTTGTTGTGCATTTTGGAAATGAGTGAGCTCCTTCTTTTATAGCCTCCAATGACGGTTGTGGAGGTCGGAGCACCACAATTGTCATTGGGAGGTGATCCAGAGCCTACACGTGGAAGGTGGTGATGGATGGAGGCAAGGTCTGATCAGTCGACCTGTGGGCCCCACCTCCCAGTTGCTTCTTCAACTGGAGGTTGATTGGTGGGCCCCTATGCCGGTGCACTACGGTTAGGCTCATATTTTAAGTTGGTTTTGACTGTCATGTGGGCCCTTCGATCCTTGTGCTCGCGTATGATTGGTCGGAGGTATATTTCGTCGCATGGCAGTGTGTTTTCGTCCGTAATTCACCTGCATAGCAATATTTACCAATACTAGTGAAAATGGTTAGTAATAAACCCCTACCACTAAGTTTGATATTATATTTTGTATTCTTTTATTTAGGAGTTGACAGTTAAAGTTTGCACTTAACACCGTCAACAGAGCTCAAGCCAACAAGCAGTTGACAGTTGCCATCCAACGGATCAATGCGGCCATGCACCAACTGTTTTCAGTTTCATATTCATTTCTAATTAGTGAATTTAAAATGTAATATGTTCTACTGTCTTGTGGCCAACACATATGGTTATGGACTATTTTAGTAATTAATGCTATAAGGACTACCTTCATAGTGTATAGAGTCAGCCCATATGGCTTCATATATTGCACAATAGCCACTTTTGTAATACATCGTGGATGCCCTTATAAGATTGCAATGTTTACAAATTTGCAATGCCATCACTTTCCATCATCGTTTTCATATTTGTTCATGTCGTTCTCCAAATGTGAAATGTTTGCATTGTCCTATGCTCCTTGCTCTAAGCTCGATCTAATATTTCCCTAGCACCTCTTCTCTTAGTCATCTCGCACCTGACTTCTCACACGCCACCTCCACCAAGGAGGACTGCCTGCCATCCCACTCTCTTTACTACTATACGCTGAATCCCACCGTTGTTATTGTTCCATTCTGAATCCCACCGCTACCACACTGTCTCCTTAACCAATTATTGCTTGTTCATTGGACTAGAACATCAAGACTGTTATAAAAGTTAGTCGATATAGCGGAAAGACGACTAACCCTCCTGATTGCTTCAGTCATTGATCACCCAAGACATGCCAGATGACGACATAGGAACACACGATATTTGTTAACAAGCTTCAGTTGAAGCCTACATCCCCGGGGCTCTGATTATGGGCGCTCCTCCCCAACCAATATAGCTCCTAGCCGCTACGAGTCCATGGCCACGCCGCCATCCTCTCCCTGCGTGTCTATGCTACATTGTAGTCGCCATGGTTACATTGTGGTGCCCCCCTCTCTATTTAAGAGAGATGACGGGTTACAGAGTCCGACTCTAACTCCACCCCCTAACACCTATTACAACTTCAAGTCCAACTGTAACCAAATAGGACTAGTATATTCGATACCTAATCTAACAAAGACATTTTGCTATGTCATGTTATATGATGGTTATAGCTGCAACAAATTCTAGACACCTTTTTCACATTGTTCCAACCAGTCGTGTAGCAGATCAACAAGATTAAAGCAGTGCGTTGGCATGAATCAACGTGTGGCGGTGGGAATTGACACCTATTATAACTTCAAGTCCAACTGTAACCAAATAGGACTAGTATATTCAACACCTAATCTAACAAACTCCACCTTGGCAAATATACGCCACCCAGAAGTAGTAGAATCACCATGCCGATCCATCTGTCCTCCAAACTTGGGTTGTCTCCTTTGCAGCTTCACCGTAAGCCGCCCGACGAGACTGCGCCAGACCCGTTGCCTTGAAGAGACTCTGCTATCTCTGTAACTTCTTCCTCTGGACTCCACCTTCTCTCATATCACCACAGTCGTCTTGCCAAGCGAAATTGAATTCCTTCCTAGCTGTTCCATCATAGACTCCCCGAAGACCATGTTCAACTCCATCTACTGTCTTAAATTTGACTTGATCTAATCCATGGCCAGATAACCGATGTCATCACCAAATAGATAAATCAAGCTCACCAGACATGAAGAGAACACTTTCTTCCTTGCCGTCTTATGAATCGAGCTAATAAATCCAACATCCACGCCTTCCCACATCCATAGACTGAATCCATGATATTTTTGAGAAAATCACCGTTGCCTTGAATCACGCGAAGAAATTACCACCATAGCGCTTGCTCTTTCCCCTTCAGTGACACAGATTCTATATATCCCCATAATACAAACCCCACAGATC